GAGAGAACCTGCAAGCACCGCGGGAGTGAGGCGGCCTCGTATCAGATCGACTCTCTCTGCTCGTCTGGCTGCTTCGACGTTGATCTAGGAGCGATCGGCACGATAATGAAGAGGACCCCAAGAAGTTGTCGCCTGGACGCCCATCACGATCGCGCCAATTGATTCTTTCGCGCGCCGATATCGCATCGCATCCATAGCGATTGGATGTTGATTGTTACTCGCGCCCGAGGCGCCGACTTGCAAAAACGTTTATTAGAATTCCAATTCGATTGTACGGGTTCTTCGATCGCGCTCGCGTTTCTTGGCGAGGGAGCCTGCAGAGATTTCGTCAAGATGAAGGATCGGATATTTATGTGATTGCGTTTTTACAAGACGGTGTGCAGACCGCCTGAAAATTAATCTTAGTCTGACATTCATGCGCACTGAGAAAGAACTCCCAGAGCCAAAGCACGTTTGATGATTGAAATAGATCGAGTAATTACCGTTACAAATCATTCTTCATCATTTGTCTTTTAGCCCTTTCGGAACCATGGGAAATATTTTTCCGCGATATTTTTTTCTAATTTAGTAGCGAATTCATAATGAACGACAGTTTCTTTTTGGCATAATGTGAAAACGGAACGCATTTATCGCGATTTTTAAACTGGCAACAAATCTGAGCTGTCAAAATAAATCGACGGCGATTGCAAATTTTTTTCCTTTTTGCATTTTTCATTTAGTTTATCTTATAATAAACTATAAAAAACGATGAAACACTTTCTTTCTCTTTCGGTTACCTTATGCACCTGTAAGGGTTAACAGACATACATTGCCTGAGATACAAATCATATTATTTGGATGTACAACATTTTTTCCAAGTACAACTTATAATATCGGTAACAAATATAACGGCAAGCGTAAACGTTTTGTTCGAGAAGAAATGAAACTCTCGCGTCGCGATAGTCCGTGCGAGCTTGCCAATTACTGCTGCCAAGCCTAGTCAGAGCGAGATAATTACTGTTAGGTGATGCGTGTGTACGTGAAATATTGCGGCACAAAAAATGAGTGGTTGCGAAGAAATAGATCCAGTATTTATGTAATGCATTGCTATTTTTTTCCCAAATTCTTGCGAAATGAAATTATTGATATTTCTTTGTTAACACAATTGATTTGCTGAACGTCATTTCTAGCCTCTGCATTACTAGCAAATCAAATTTATAATTTGTTAAATCAACTACGCGGTAACATCTGTATTTATTACAGAAGTGTTGCTACAGCAGCAAGTTGAAAGCAACAAATAATTTGTTTCCATAACAGGAATTGTTTGCTGTTCTATATTACTGACCATTTGTTGCGGTTACTACATAGTATTTTGTTAAATTAGCAGAACTATTCTCCTCAGTGTGGGTCAAATCAATCTGGCCGAGGAAAGCAGAGTTCGTCCTATTGTTTCCTGCGTGCTTATTCGCTAAAATTGTTCAATTAATTCCTGAACACTCTCGAATCGCCAACAATATACAGCGTATTCCTATCGCAGCGGTTAAAATGACAGTTTTTGAGAAAATACGCACGGAAAAAAAGATTTGGTTGAATTAGCCAAATAACTGGTCGAATATGAACGATCCAGAACTTCCGATTGAAGTAACCCGAATTCTGTTTAAGTCAACCAAAAATCTCGTTAACTTAAACAGAATTCGGGTTACTTCAATCGGGATTTCTGGATCGTTCATATTCAACCAGATATTTGGTTAACTCAACCAAACTTTTTTTTCCATGCGCGATGCAGGAAAAGAATATTTATTCTCTTCAACTCTATCGAACCTCGATGGAAAATGCAAAATGCATCGTTATAAATTTGAATAATTTTCTTAAGAGATTACGAAACTGCAATTTTGACTGCTTTGGTAGTTTTAATTGTAATAACTGTTGTTCATGAAACAGTAGAGAATTCTCCTCTTCAGTGTGACTCGCGCTACTTGTTCACGAGAGTTTTTACTTTTAATTGTCATACACTCTCTGTACAGAGATTTCTGTTTTCGCCGGAATGAGGTATTAGGTATTTATGCGATTTAATTTTTTACTAGACGGTATGTAAAGCCACTGAGGAAAAGGCATTAAATGGAAAAGTTGGTGAGAAATGAATGTCGCTGCTTTCGCGACATCCGTCGTAATATAGAAGCCAATTAAGGGACACAGAGCGAGCTTTTTAACTTCGCGAGTTAAAATTCCTGTTGCGATAACGACTTTGCAACCTCTCGTTAAGACCACGCGATAACGACCTTTTCACATTAAGGGTGAACTTTGGTTGCTAATGTATGCTCGGTCGTTCAAAAAGATTTCCCGTTTCCGAATTCACGTGAACTACCTTATGAATTTATTGGTCCTCGAGTCTGCGTCTTCTCCCCACGTGTTATGTAATCACGTTGTACGCCGAGCACGAGTTAGAATTTAAAGCCTGCACGCGACTGTGCGACACGTTTCGCGCGAAACCGGAATTTCACTCGTTTCTTGTAATTTAAGATCGTAATGCTGTTCAATGTTACGAAATTCAACTTTGGAGAGAGAGAGAGAGAGAGAGAGAGAGAGGCGAGAAAAAAGAACATTGTAATACAAATCAGATGCATCTTCCTTGAAAATTCCAGCGAGTACGAAAGAAAAAGAAAGAAACGTGAAACTTCGCGCGAGTTACTGGGATAATATCTCTAATGGAAACTGTCGGGAAAAGTACATTTGCATGTCCAAAGTTTCGCCTTATCGATCGTATTTATTATCGCGCGTGAGGGAAGAATCGACTCGAATACACGGAATATCTAAAGTATGCGCGTAAGCGCCGTTGTGTCCTCGCGAGCTGAGATAGCGACGGTCGAGAGAATCCGAAGCGCTTCGATGTATCGCTATATTCACGCTCTCGTAAAAAACAGAGAGAGAGAGAGAGAGAGAGAGAGAGAGAGAGAGAGAGAGAGAGAGAGAGAGAGAGAGA